CCGCCGGCCAATGCGGGCCGCGGCGAGCAGCCGGCTTTAACCATCTGTTGCGAGGCGCCTCCTCCAAGCGCTGCCGCCTCCCTTGCCGGGGGGCTCCCTCCCGAGAACCCCGCCGAGGAGGTGGGGAGCCGGGAGGAAGATTTAGTCCGTTCCACCCTCTCCAGGAGCTCTTTGCCCTCCGCGCCCTCAGGGGCCGCGGTTGTTACCCGCCTCGCCTCCCCTCCCCCACTCCCCTCAGGATCGCCGCCCCCTCAGGGCTGGCGCCCCTCACCTCAGCGCTCTCTTCTCCGCACCCTCTGCTTTTTATCTCGCACATCACCCTCCCTGCCTTCCAGCAGGCCCCCTCCACCGCTGTGGGGTGAAGGAAGAAGTGAGGAAAGAGGAGCCGGGTTGAGGGTGCTCTGAGAGAGCTGCGGCACCGCCCCAAGCAGCCCCCCATTAGGAGTGCCAGGTGGGGCAGCGAGGGTGTGTGTGAGGGGGTGGTGGTGTCGGTGCGGGAAAAAGAAGTGCGTGTGGGGTCTAATCCTCCTCAGGTTGGTGGGGATAAAGACCTGACCTGTTAAAACTTTTGTACTTCCTACTTAATAACCGGGCTTCTCCACACGGGGTGGAGGCCGGCGGTGGTATTGCGCAGAGAGATGTACCTCGTCCTGCTTCAACAGGCATAAAGCAGGGCTACAATCTGTCTGTGTTTAGACTTTTTAAACATCTCCTGTGGAGAAGCTGTTCTAAAAGAGTCAAAAGTGTCTTTCACTATTTATTGGGTTTGAGTTTTAGCCTTTCATGTTCCTAATTTGAAGGGTTTTCTATGAACATGAGGACAGCCTATGCGCAGAGTCCCTTATTTTGGTCCCTGTCTCCACCCCAGGTGATATTTGCAGTGCACGTGTAAACTTTCCAGAAAACAGAGCCATAGTTCCTGCTTTACTTCTCTTTTTACATTAATAATTTCCTTGTCACAGACCTCCCTGATTATGCTTTTTAATCAGGTGATGCTTTTATCAGATGATTCTCCACAGAAAACCCAGGGAAAGAGAAGCTAACTTTATTCCAACAGGTTCCAGGATAATATTTTTATCAAGACATGTCAAGAAAACGAGGCAAATTCTTTTCAACAACCTCAAGTTAACAAAACAGTCTTGAGATATGGTCTGTGGAAAGAAGAAAATGTACATTTGTAGCATGTGTTAACATAAGTTCTAAATGAATTTTTGTTGTTTTTTTGAAACTGTCAGATTCTTATTTCTTACCAGAGCTTTGTCATTAAATTGTGGATTTAAAAGCAAAGCATGGACTAGATAAGATTTGCAGGACTTGAGATACAGTATTGCACAAATTTTAAGGTTATCTTTTCTCATTGTCATGTATGTTATCTGTAGCTGGATAGTCTTGTAAATAAGTTAATCATAGGTCCTTTTATTATTAAAAAAATACTATTTCTGGAAATAAAGTCAGCCACCTGTATTTCATACCAATGGAATATATGCTGTTATAAAATGGCTTATAAGTGGTACAATGTGTTACTCCAAATAGACACTTTTTAAGACACTAGGAAGGCTTTATCTTTGCATTAAAGGATCTCAACACTGCTTAGATTGTCTCAAAAATACTCAAAATTGAATTATTTGGATTTTTTTGGTGAGGCTTCAGATGGATGAAAGTTCACCCTCATGTATGCATGTGAAATGCCTATAAATCAGGAGAATTTGTCATTGCAAGATATTTTTAAGGAATGGTTTCTATATAGTTATAATTACTAGAATGACAAATTAGATAGTGAATCCTCCATTAATCTTACTAAGCTATTCTCAAACGTAAGTTATTCCCATATATAGTCTAATCAAGGCTCATCATAATAATTTTGTGAGATATTGTTTCTCACATTGCTACAAGGTTTTGTCTTACTACTGTAAGAATGTTGTTATTATTGAATTTATTAATGCATAGAAATTCCATCTAACAACTTAAACCAATTGTCCTAGGTACCAAATATATGCATATAAAGATGCTCTTCACTTGAGTACTTCGCATGCCGTCGTCATATATAGAAGTCAAAGGATGGTTGGAAATAGAACAATCCACAGGCAACCAACTGCTGTCAGAAACAGTGAAAATGTAAATAACTTGTTTAGTGGTACAAGAAATCTTGGCAGAATCCAAAAGCACATGCAGGTGAGTGGTGCCCAGTCCACTGCTGTAATAAGCACTGCTGTTAAATATAAAAAACTATACCTTAAATCTCAAAAGAATGTTTCTCTAGGAAGTCTTTTATTTCACAAGCAAAACAACTACTGCAAAGGCAGTTGCTTACTTTTTTTTAAAATAGGTATTCTTTCCCTTTGCTCATTACAGTTTTTATTACTTATTTGCATAGATTAAAAAGATGACAAATTCTGCATGCATGCATCATCAGTATTGTGTATGTCATGAATGCAATTAGGGCAAGATTCAAACAGACCAACAACATGCCATTAATTCAGGGGTTTTCTTCTGTATTTTTACTTGCTACTATCTTGGTATGTGTCCTTGGGTAATTTGTTGAACTTGCCTGTGAATCATTCTTTCATCTGTGAGGTCTAGGATAGCCATACTTGGAAAAGTGGCACTTTTTTAGTACTGGTATTTTGTGAATTTATTTATCTATAACAAATGAACTAGTAAATAACATATTTGAATATAGGCATCCATCGTAATGGGAGTTTCTTCTGCTTCACTCTAAGTGACATTTACTTGGCAGTCTATAGTGCTTAAAATGAGATTTAATATCTAGGCAGTATTTTTTGTCAAGTATCATAGCAAACAACTTAAAATCATCAAAGATCCTGTGTGAAAGTCTTTTAAAGAATAAGCCTATTTTTGTAATTGGTCAAGCAGTGCATTAACAGTGTGTGCAGAGGTAAAGCTGCAAGCAATTATCATTCAGGAGACCAAAGACAGGGAGAATGAACAGTTTTCCACAGAGTTCACGATAAAGAGCACTGTATCCCTGAAAAGCTTTATGTTTTCTTCATGAAAAAAAGATTGCAGTGCCTAATTATAGGAGTTCAATGAGACTAGGGCCTGGTACCTCCAAGAAAACTATTCAGAAACTGTTTTGGTGTGGGTTCCATGTGCAGCAGGTGTTCATCATCGCAGTAAGCTCAGTAACAACATCGCTTGCCATTCCCACACTACGTGTTTGCACTAAGAATTTTGGTTTTAGTGGCTGCTTTCAAGTCACTTCCAACAAGAGATTGTGTGTGCATGTTACATATAGTTACCCTTTAACTTTCTTCCCACATCTTTTCTTTATGTAAAGTTGAGCAAAATGCCATTTGTTAGGCTGATGCTTTCAGTAGAGTTAAAAATACCGATATGCATTAGCTGCAATAATCAAATTTTTAAAATCCCTAATGTCTTAGGAGATCCATTAACCTTAATCAATCCAACACATCAGATTGTGCTTGCCAACTGCCCTTTTCCAAATAAAGATATATCAAGTTACATTAATAGCATCAGTAATTAAATACTAGCGTGAATGTAAAAACAAATCCAGAGATCCAAATAGTGCAAACCTGGGCTACTGATTTAGTTCCAGATCTTGCAGCAGGATATTCTCTGAAGTGACCAGCAAAAACCATGAGAGTGGAACTCAGTGAGTGAAAAGGCAAAGTTTGAATTTTAAACCCTCTTTTTCCTTCCACATGAATATGTTAAGTTCCCAGTGGAAAAAAAGAAACAACCCTCAGGATTGAATAAACTAATCAGAAACATACCTTAGAGCCTTAGTCATAAAGAAGTTGCTTTGTTATAAAGACAAAGCAGATTTGTGGGAATGCTGCCACTTTTTATAAACTGTCGAAAGCTGGGGGTTGTTTTATTTTGGTTATGTGCCAGTCATGACTCAGGAACTATTATGAAAATGAATGTGCTATTTCAAACGTTGCAAGACCTAGTCTAGATTTAGATAGTGTAACATATTTACCTAAACAAGCAAATTAATCTCAGAAGCTGCAGAACTGAAACTGTTTGGAATGTCACTCAAATGCTGACACTACTGAGAAAATAAAAGCATGGATGAACAGTGCCAACCACTGAAAATGCCAGCGGATGGTAAGTGAAATGTTATGTTCCTACCCCACAAGGCCGTGTCTTCTGGTGGCAAACAACTGTACCTCATAGGGAAAGGGAAAAAAAGAATAACAACTATAGCTACAAAAGGTACAAGTACATAAAGGAACAGCTGTCTAAACTTCAGAATATAGAAAGTTGTCTATTTGACTCCAAGTTTAGCCTTTCCATGTAAAGACAGCTATCAAAACTGTGACTTTTTGCATGTTCTTTGGTAACTGGGGTAATTGCTAACTGCAATCTCATGTTTCCTATCCCCTTACTCAGAACACATTAAGGGAAATTGATTGTAACTCCAGTGCTAACACCGAAGCGTTCAGCAGTAACAATTTGTAGCTTCTAGAGCACTTTTCTGTTTCAACGGGCTTTGCAAACATTGATTAATTAATCTGTTCTGTGTTCATTTCTGAGGAAGCATGCAATCCTTCCACTAAACAGTTGGGCTTTGTTATGGCTTTTAAAGCCTGAACTGTGCTGTGAGGTTGGGTGAGTGAGCACGTGCAGAGGGGCAATACTGGAGTGATGCTGCTGAACACATGCCGTTTGGGCAGCTACAGGGAACGTGTTTAACAGTGGCTGTAAATCTTTGCCTTGCTTGAGGTGCCAGGTGATACACAGAGGTAAAAAAAGCCTCATTATCTCTTTCCACAAGTTAAGTTTCCTCTTTGATGTGTTACACATAAAGGCAGGTTACTGTGCTGACACAAGGAAAACAATCATCAAGTTCCTTCTACTACCCACATGTGCTCA